CCATTATTCTGTATCATCAACTGAGTTTGCCAAATCTTCAGTTATTCTCAGTGACATTAGGGTGCAAAGTGTCAGGCACAGGATGTTGTGTGCACTTTTACTCAATTTTCTTGAATAGTGAGACCTTCCAGAGAAGATGTTATAGTGTCTAATAGAAGCACAAGGACAGTCATAAAATTTTTATTTTGATCTGTAAATATATTTCTAATCAGTGCCTCCACAGTAGATTTTCTTCAGGCTTATAATGCACTTGCCTGGAAACATGCTGGCACATTGAAGGGTTCCAGTGCAGCAGTGTTTTCAGTCTATGCCTCAAGACTCGTATCTGTGAATCATCCACCCACAACAGCAGAGAGAAAAACAGCATCCTAATCCAGGGCTACAGGGGGGAGATATCTTTTCAGTATCTTCCCAAATTAGTTTCTTGTTTTGATGACAGAGTGAAAGTAGTTTTTTCGAAATGTACAAGACATTTGTAATTGACTTTACTTATGATCTTCCACAGAACTTGGTACCTGGATGCTACTCTATGACATTGCAGATCTCTGGCAGATTGGGGAAAAAAAAGCATTTTGCTTACTAACAAACCAAGGACAAAAAAAAAGTGTCCTGACTCTTATATATATTATTATCTACAATAACTGTGCTTTATTTAAAGACCACTTTTTAGAAATACAAACGGTGGGTATATCAGCAAGTCTGCTTTTAAAAATCATGTGCTCAGTGTGCTATAGTGCTTATTAAAAATAGCTCATACACAGAAAAATACAGCCCTTGCAGCATTGCCAAGGTCAATGAGTAGTTAAGATGGTCTGAACAAGCATGCGGATTCTGCAACTGAAAGGTTAACATTAAACATCAAGTACTTCTGAAGTTCCCTTGAATTTGAGCAAATCAGATAAGTACAGTTTATTTCTCTTAACAAGTTTCTTTCCTCTAGTGATATCCAGACATTATTTAATATAACTTAGTGATGAACATGATGACAACTTTGTAAAAATCCAGACTTTCTGAGTCAGATTCTTCAGTGAAGTTAAGACAGATTTCCATTTTACTTTAATTGATGACATGACCAAGGATCCTAAATTGCAATATTCATAGTCAAGCACCTATGCAAAATAGATGAAGAACACTTTCCAAATAGGCTGTGACCAAAAGACTGAAAAAGGCTCCCATTTAAATGGCAAATTTGGAACAAGCTTTTCTGTGAGAGATTTGGAATAAACTTTTCAATTTGCAGAGAACAAGAGCAAGAATCTAACCTCAAAGAATTTCACTGCAGAATTCTTGTGGAAAAATCCTTGACATCAAGACATAAGCAAGCACATAGTAGGGAGCATGGTGAAGCTACGAGCAACTTTAGCATTGGTACAGTATATTTACATACTTTAGTTCAGAGTAGTTGCATACTTTACTCCTGATCATAGAAAATTTTTTACTTTTAGACTTTACTTTTAGACTTGATGGAAATGCCATAAATGAAAAACATCTGAAAATTTTTGGTGGATCTGTGGAATAAATATATTTTCTCAGACCACAATGTTACCTCTGTTGATTCTTCAGGGCTAAAATAAGTAAAACTAAAAATAGATTTACACTGGTCAGCAGCTCAAAATACGTAGAGGAAGCAGAGCTGGGTTAGACAGCACTATTTTTGTCTAGCCACTTTTCACAGAAATACAGTTGCTCAAATATAAGAATGATGCACTCATAACAAAGTGTAGAGTGAACAATTGAGATGATCAGAACATTTTGAAAAGGATTTTACTGGGGTAAGAATTGAGCACCCATCCAGAGACAGCCTGAGAATTGGTACCTGAAGAAATGATGCTTCCAACAGGAGCAGAGCCACTTAGAGAGAGACAAATGGACACATTCCCTTCAGTATAGGTATGGGACTTCTATCAGTAGTAGAATACAACTATCCACAAGAAAAAGATAGTAATTAAAAATAAATTCTCAAAGAACATTCTTAGTAGGCTTACAATTATTTCAGATGCAAACATACTCCTTTCCTTCGGTGTTTACACTTACAAACACAGATTAGAAACAATGAGTTTGGTCCTTAGTCTGTAAAACTTAATCGATCAAGACAGAGATAATTATATCTTCCTTACACACTTTTACACAATGTGCTGTGAGTGATTCTGGAAATATCTTATTCCATGTTATATCATAAATAAGTTGGTGCATTTAAAACAGAGATCTGTTACCCTTGGAGTAAAATGGCTTCCGTCATTTGGATATGTTTATTTTTGAAAGCTTTTAGCACTTTCATGCTTCATGACAAGTTTAGACTATTATAACACATTCTAAGTGTAAACTGAGGTTTGGAATCAAAGCACAGATTCATTTATTTGGTATTTGCTACTCATTAATCTTTTTCTTTTTTTTTTTTTTTTCCTTGAAAATGTCCACCAATTATTTAACAACACATAGTGCATTGTAATGTCATATATTAACTTGTCTTGTGGTTAAAATAAATAACTTTTCTCAAGATCAATTGAGTCTCTCAATATTCTTCAGTTGTATGGTCAAAATGAAACTGTAAAAGTTTGAGTAGTCCATGTCTAATAAAGTGTTAATATTATTTACACTGTTCATGCATAGGCTTCACTGATTACTATAGACGTATGTACATGTGTATGTTTCAATATGAATATGTGTATATAAATATAGACAGCCGAAACCAACTTGCATTGCTATGTGCACCAAATACTTTTCCCCAAAAAGGACAGCCCATGCAAATTAGAGTATAATAAACACTTAAATGCCTGACTTTGATCTGTATTTATATATTCCTTAACAGTTCTTTCATGACTTTGAAACTTTTGTAATTTGTAAAGGCAATGAACAAGTCACAACTCATTGATAATTTAGTGTCTTCCCTGTACGGAAAATATCAAGAAAAGACAGCTGTGTACTATTTATATTAACAGTAAGTCAAAAGTATTTATTTTAGTATTCTACTCAGAATCCATGCTACTTTCATAACTGAAGAGGTCTTTAGTTCTATCATCTTTGTATCATAGCCAGGAGGCCCAGAAAGTAGTATTTCCTTTTTTTTCTTTTTTTTCTTTTTTTTCTTTTTTTTCTTTTTTTTTTTTTTCCCCCATGGAAACTGTGATAGATACAAAGAACTCAATAACATTGTTTGCTAGTGTTTTACAGCTGAGAATTTAATCTATTTTCACCATTAGCTATGCATCTTTGCTGGTAATGGACAAGACCCTGCATGCCACGCTCAGAAGCATCTGCATGACCATCCAGAATGCGGCTTATCTTTTATATTGCTGAAACACATCATCCACTGACTCACTTTGCTATATATCCACTTTTTGGTGTCAGTAAATATTCAGCAAGAGTCAATGAATGTCAATAGGGTGATTTTTCCCATGTGGAGGAATTAAACGACACCCCTTTGTTTCATATGTGCTTCTGTCAGACACCATTTTGCCAGACTGCCATTCTGTCTGTCACATGACTACAAAATATAATGGACTATTTGTGGAAAGGTTCATCCTCTACCACCACACTACCAACATTCACCTCTGTCATTGTGAACCAACATTATAAAATAGGAGGCATCACTTTCAGAACATAACTTCCAGAGTCATGTGGTTAGCCCATATTATCTATTTTCAATTACTATTCAAATTTCAAACTATTACAATTTCAAACTATTTCATTACCTATAACAGCCACAGGATCTGTATGCAGCAGTGATAACTGTTTTGCAGAAAAAAATAAGTGGATCTGTTTTCTTTCAAGATCATGTAGCTTTCTCAACAGATTGTAAGACAAACAAAATGTAAGACTAAGTGTAAATGTTTAGTTCTGTGGATACAAATAAGGATAATAGTTCCTAAAAACAAGATCAAATTACATTTGGAAATAATGTGATAAAATGCATGCTTCATAGCTTTCAAGAAGATAACTATGGCTCTTTAACAATACAGAGCACAAGAGCAAATATTACAATATGGGATTCATACACAAAACAAAACAAAAAAGAAAAAGATGTTTACATTAATTCATTGTCTACACGCTAACATTAGATCACACAACAGTTTGAAATTCAGAATAGCTTTTTATTAGGAAATACACTTTGGAATAAAAAGACATTATAGTTTGTATAGGCATATTACAATTACAGATGTGTGAATAGAATTTCTATTACAGAATAATCAAAGGTAAAAGGCAAAATCAGTGCAAATACATTAAAATGTAGTACATGCATTATGCAGTTTGCTAGTATTCTGTCATATAGGAATTAATATACCATAAGATAACATAATATGGTTCAGCTTAAGAAGTACTGTGCATTTGTTTTGACTAAACAACAGGAAAGGTGAGAAATAAATGTTAGCAGATCTTTCTGGCATTTTACTAAGTCTCTAAACAAATTTCAGGACAAAAATTAGTATTCAAAAATGTAACATGCATTCTGTGACCTTAAGAAGAATATACTGAATAAATACCCTGCTTTGTCCAGTGGTTCATTGATTATTGCTCAGGTTCAGTTGTTAATGAAATAATACCATGACAAAGTTCAAAGAAATAAAGTTCTGAAGAAATTTGTAAATATAGATGGAAAATATCAACTTACATAGTTGAGGATAGACTCGTTTTTTTTTTCAATGTTCCTTTTTCTTTTCATATTTTCAGTTTGTTATCCTTGAGCATTCAACAATAACCTTTGCTGTAAGCATCACACATCTGAAGATGATTTCACAGTTGAACTAGATGATCTTGGAGGTCTTTTCCAACCTTGGTGATTCTGCAACTAAGGTGTGTGTATATTTACAACAAGTAGAGCTTGAACCGTGAGATACAACTAAAATTTGACATTGGAAACTTTATTCTACAAAGTAACAATATGCAATCACACTGTATATCAGCTTGTAGCTTTCCAAGAGTTTATAAATTGAAAGTCTGTTTTTTTGAGAGCTTCAGCTTGTCACCCTATGGGGAAGGACCTGGGAGTCCTGATTAATTAAAAACTGAACATGAGCCAGCAGTGTGCAGCTTGGAAAGCCAATTGTATCCTGGGCACCATCAGATGAGGGGTGGCCAGCAAGGACAGGGAAGAGACTGTACCTCTCTATTCTCCCCTCCTGAGGCCCCATCCAGAGTACTGCAGCCAGTACAGGAAAGATGTGGAGCTGTTGGAGAGAGTCCAGAGGAGGGTTACAAAGATGATAAGAGAGCTGCTGCACTTCTCCTGGAAAGGCAGGTTGAGGGTGTGGAGCTTGTTCAGCCTGGAGAAGAGAAAGCTCTGAGAAGACTTCATTGCAGCTTTCCAGTATCTAAAAGGGAAATAAAAAAGTAAGAAAACCAACTTTTTACATAAATCAACTTTTTAGATTGGTAGACAGTGATAGGACAAGAGGGAATTGTTTTTACCTCAAGGAAGGAAGGTTTAGATTGGATATTAGGGGGATCTCTGTAAAGATCTCTCTTTACAGAGAGAGTGGTGTGGTGCTGGAACAGTCTGCCCAGAAAAGTTGTGGATGCCCCATCCATGGAAGTGTTCCAGATCAGGTTGGATGGGGCCCTGTGAAACCTGGTCTAGTACCAGATCTGGAAGTTGGTGGTCCTGCCTAGGGCAGGGGAACTGGAACTTGATCATTTGGGTTCCTTCCAACCCAAGTGATTCTATGATTCAGTGATTGTCTGTAAAGGTTTCCAGTACTTAAACAAACACATTTATTCTGTTTAAGAAATGTGACTCAAGCTTTCATCACGCTGGCACCAATGTGCAAATCCAGAAAATACTGTCTTGCTTATGAATAACGAGGAATAGCTGAGGAGAGGAAATAAAGTAACTTCTTTTAAAACCTGGAGATGATAAGAAGTGCGTTCTTAAGATTATATGGGTGCTATTAATAACTAAAAATAGAACATCTATGGACAAGATAAATATTGAAACCACTTAGCCTGGAGCATTCATAGGTTAGCCTAGAACTCTGTTAAAGACATGTTTTTACTTTAAATAACAGAAAAAGTATTAGACAATGGAATAGTCTCCTTACATGACAAAGTTCAATATGTCTTAAAAAGTTGCTTCAAAAAATGTCTTAAATTCTTCTGAGCCTTTTCTTCTGGACCATAAACTTAGGTAGTGACACTGAATATCCCTACAATTCTAAGTTTCATGATAGCGTCAATAGCTGTGGCACAACTTGTGTCATTTGTGCATTTTGTCATTTTATGATGTAGCAGACAAACGGTGACATACTTAGACTAAGATCAGTCAGTGGTGAACATTTATGTGACTTCCTACATACAAAGCAAGATGTTAAACATTTAATTGGGTGTTAGCTTGTGCAGAACTCAAATTAACACAGAGGTAGAAAACACTCTTTGCTCTCATTTGAACATACAGTATTTCTGCAGTCAGTTCAAGTGCTCACAGCTGAATGTGTTGCTCTTTTATGGTCAGAAGTGATTCAACAACAAAAATGTTCATTTTAGAATAATTTATAATTTTGGAATTTGTTCTGAACTAAAAGAGGAAAATGATACAAATCTTTCCTTATCTAGGATCTATCAATATTCAATTTTTGCCTGATCTGACTCAGAATTTGTCTCAATTGCTTGGAAGACCTCTTCATAATTTTTTTTGCTATGGGTCTGTAAAGCAGTCCTAATGATCGGACAGTCCCTGAAGTTCTTCTAAGGCATTATGGAAAAATTCGTTAAAGATTCACTGCCCTTGGAATTACTACAAGTGAAACTTAATAGCTCAGACAAATTCTCTTCCATGTGTTAATAAAGTACTGTGGCACTGTGGTGCTTCTGTCTTGGTTTCTGCTGTTATTATTTCTGTGTTATCTCAATTAGTTACTACAGGATCTTATTAATGTAATTCTCACCTAATCCCGTTTCTACTCTACTCTTTCCTATGTCAGCAGTATTTTGATATAAAATCTTTTATTATATAGACTTTTTTCTTCTATATATTTCAGCACACTTTTTAGCAGACACTTCCTATTCTATACTGTTCTGCATTACGTATTAGCAGTAAATCCATATTTACAAGGAATTCTTCCCAGTACCGCTACACTTGTTTTCTCCTCCCTCTTTCCCATGTGTCATACACACACAAAAAGACCTAGTCATACTAGTTTCATATAATTTTGAAATATATATTAAAACAAATAATAATGATTTATAAGAACAGATCTCCAGAAACAAAAAATGGAGTCAAGAAAGAATCAACAAACCTGGTGCAATATTGCTCTTGACAATATTTACCTGTTTATTTAAACTTACAGTCCTCATCTCTCATGTTTGCAGTTTGGGACAGGAAGGGGTTGAGCCATTAAATCTACTTGAGCTACTGGCATATGAGTCCCATTAACTACCCACATTCTTGATTCCAGATCACAGCAAAAAGAAAGTAACAAAAATAAGGAAACTCACATATGCATGAGCCATCTTCGTGGTTTTGCACCACAGTAAAGTCTAAATACACACATACTCATCTTTACTGATAATATTCTGCACCTATCTGCTTAGAATAGTAGAGGAAGGCACAGTCATCCTCTTGTTACAACTTAATCTACTTTGGAAATAATTTGTAAAGAAGTACATAATCACCTCCCAGCCCACCCTGAGTGGAGGTAGTTAGAGCTACATTCAGGTTTGGATGCTCTCCTTGCAGGAGGCAGTCACCACCTATGTTCTGCAGGACAAGGAAACAATATCACAGGCAAAAACCAGATATTTTTATCCACACACACACCCCTTTGTTCCACTCCAATATGCCATCTAACTTAGAGCTCAAACCAATGTAAACAGAAGATTCCACTTTACTATTAGAAACAATGGTATATTATGGCTGCTTGTTTGTTAATCTGGCTGTTCATTAAATTGGGCACTCCTTTTGGCACTACTGAAGTCTAAAGTACCTGAAGGGCTGTTCAAATACTGCTAGTATATTCTAAATGGAAACATGTTTTCTGTATAAAGAAACAACTTTCTTAAAGAGAAAACGTGTATTTTTTCCTTGTAAAAAACAAACTTACTATGCTATGTCTATTGTGGCATATCTTTAAAAACTTTTTGGTATCAAGGCTATAACATTTTATTTCCACAAAGAAGTTTAAGTATTTGTTTAAAATATTCTGAGAAACAAAATATAATACCATTATTTTTCTGCTTGATCCTACATTTACTATCAAGCAAAAACATTTACTCCTGTGAAAAGCCCTAGCAATCCTACATTGCTACCACTTGCGTGTATCACTACCACTTCCACATGAAATGCTCTTCTACTTTATTTTGCTTCTTTTTTTTTAGAATGGATTTCAGGATTTCAGTGGGACCACTGGCACCACAAGCGAGTACATAAGCTACTGAATCTTTACAGTTGTCAAAAAGCACAAGTTTGATAGCTAGCATGACTGAAATAGCCAATAAATTATATTAAAACGAAGGAAGGCTGATGCAATCAACAAATGGTAACGATTTGAATTGCTTTTTTTCAGTAGTAAAAAATGAAGCAGTCTAGGAAATCTTGCTTTATGGGTGACTTGTTTGTAAGAACACTTGTTCTTAAGCCGTCATCAAACAAAAGCAATTTTATGAGAAAAAATTGTAGCTTTCTGTAATTAAAGAATTGTGCTCTTCGTTCCAGTCTACTAAGACAAAAAAGGACAGGAAAGGGAGATCTCAATATTAAATAACAGAGAAATAATGGTGACTAATGAGACAGAGAGAATATAGTTATTAAGCAGAAACTATGGTCATAATATGATTTCCTTCCAAAGATAATTTTGAAAAATATGACAGCATACAGAACTCTCCTCTTCTTTACTTGCTTCTCTTTTCTTTCCTATTCTCTCTCACCAATCTCCATTTTCCTTCCCTTCCTCTGCACAGAGTCCTACAAAACAGAATTCTTGCTTTTTCATTATAAAGTTGATGTACACTGTGTTTTGAATAACAATATTTGAAATCCTCAAATGCTTTAAGTACTGCTTACTGTAGGTGTTTAAACAAAATGCCTAGGGCAAATCAATGTTCTCCTGCTTAGTTCTGTCATATTTAGTCCTTTTGTGATTTTGCAAAGTTTAATATTGTGATATCTCAGACAGTGTTGAAATCTTTGAGGCTGTGTGTAGCTAAGAGGCTCCCACTTCTTTGATTACTTGTACGTAAAAACAAAACTAAAAAAAAACCCTATAACACAATTCACAAAATATTTTATTCTAAGTATTACACTGAATAAGAAATCCACATGCCCTTATTTATTAGGAGGACCTCAGGAAGAATTTGAAAGAATGGCACTCCACCTGTAAATATTCATTCTGAATTTAACTGCAGATCCGTTCACTTTTATATGCTCTGTCAATACATACATTATTGATTGCACTCATTACTAAGCAATGGCTCGTCTCTTCAGTATAAAACAGATCACCTAAAATTTTCATGAAACACAAATTTTTCAGCTGCTGCTTTAGCAAAAAAATGTAACCAGGCTGCTTTTACCATCTCTAATCTAGTTTAGCAGCTTGATTAGGAATTTTGTATTTCCTGTTGAAAATAAAAGGTTTGAGGCTCACTAAAAAAAAGCTGCTGAAAGAATCAGCTCTCTTATTCCACTAAATATAAAAGTTAAATTTCTCTCTCTCTTTGCCTTTCAGATGTGTTTGATTATAATGTGTCTGCCTCTGGACACATCTAGATGTCACCTGCCATCTCCAAGTCTAATAATAATGTTTCCAGTTAGCAATATCGTTCCTAGAACTGGTTGTTATGCACAAGCGGGCTCTAACAGCAGGCTGAGGCAATTATGGCAAATAACAACAAAAGTAATGAGCTGCTTCCTGACTGAGACCACCTGTTGTTCTGTTTTCTTTAGCTATTTTCCTAGTGATATTAGCTCTGACTATTAGATGCCCATGCACAGCAGCTAACAGAGAGGTGCAACTTGTCTGTCTTCTCTAGAGGCAACTGAGACCATGAAACAAAAAAAAAGCATTTCTTCTTCTCCACAAAAAAACATTCCAGGAATCCAGATCACAAAGGCCAACAGTAAGAGTGAATAGGCTTGAGGGTCAGTTAGATATAAGGGAAGAGATGAAGTGTGGAGAGGTTAGTAAAGAAGGCTGAACCAAGATTCCTCTAACTGTCAATCACCTGTGTTGGAGCGTGAAGAAAAAAGGCAAATATATATATATATATATTTCCTTCTTCTGAATAGCTGGAGCTACACTTGAAATATGGCTATTGTCATTAGTTAGGCTAGGAGGAATGAGTAGTACAAAGAGTTACAGAAAATTGGTTCCTAGCTGTATAC